GTTGCGGGGGTCCTGAGGGGCACAGGCCCTTCTTGGGTGTCGGGGTCACATAGCCCTGCACGCAGGGATGGCGAGCAGAGAAGGGGCGCGGTGGGCGGGAAGGGAGGCCAGGGAAGGTGGGGTCCTCCCAGAGGGACGAGGCTCCGGCTCAGGGCACAGGTGAAGATGGGCCGCAGCCCAGGGGGCTCTCTCCAGCTCCCCTTTCTCATCCTTGGGTCCCGTGTCCACCAGGCGGTTCCGAGGGCAGGAGAGCGGGCAGAAGTGCCTCGATGGCAGGGGCTCACCCCTCTGCTCACCCCTCAGTCTGGACCTGATACTCCCACGTCCACCCCAACCCCCGTTTGCTGTCCCCCTGCCTCTTCCGGCCTCTCACTGCTCTCAGGATCGCCCAGACAGCTAATGGGGGCGTGTCCATTTTCTGCTTGTCCCCACCAGGAGGCTGACCACCGCTCATCACTGTCCAGCAGACCTGCCCAGCAGACCCATCTGGCACTGGGCTCCGACCCTGCCCGCCGGGGAGGGCCCCGGGACTGTCCTCTGCCCCCCCCCTCCCCGTGACGCTGAGCGGCGGCCCCCACCCTCCCATCTCCCGGGGCGGGTCCTCAGCAGCCACCGCTGGCCCTCTCCACCGGGCTGGCCCCTCCTGGGCTCTCAGGAAACAGGCTTGCTCTGGACTGGCGCTGGGTGTCTGCAAAGAAAGCAGGCCAGGGAGCGCTGGTCCCAGAGCCAGTCTGTCCGCTCCAGTCCCAGCGCCTAGCGGCAGCTAAATACAGACACCCAGAGTGAAGAGTGATTGGGGTGGGGTGCTGGGGTCCCACGGATCGATCATGTTCTCACCCAGTTCAAAAGACCCCAGGGGCCAGGGCCCAGGCGCGCCCTGGGAAGCTGGGGCCCCTTGGGGAGCAAAAGTCCCCCTGAGACCAACCCGGGCTCCCAGTCTGCTGGCTGGATGACTGGGGGGTCTTTCCCAGCCCCTCAGGCCTCACCGAAAAGCAGGCTGTGCTGGGAAGCAGGGCAGGGGCACCCCAGCAAGAGGGGCAGACCTCCATTCCCTGCTCCCCCGCCCCCCCGAGCGGAGTGGACAGTCGGTGCGGACAGAGAGCAGAGCCGCCCCCGCCCCCTGCCCCTCGAAACGTTCCAAACACGCCCGCAGCTGCGCCTGGCGGGGGGCTATTTCAGGGGGGCTATTTCAGACCTGGCTGTTAAAGGCACCAAAATATCCCTGTGGGTCTATAATTGGCCAGGGAGTCGCCAGCCCCGCCCCGCCTCCCAGAGCCGCCTCTTTATTGCCAGGGACCCCACACTGACCCCGCTCTCTCGGCCAGCCCATCTCCCCCGCTGGACCCTCAGCTGCCAGCCCCAGGCCGGCCCCCTCCGCCCCGCCCCCGCGGCCCCGCCCGGCGGGAATCCCAGTGCAGCCGCTGCTCCTGGGGGTCCCAGCTTTGTTCCTGGCGGCAGCTGGCCGGCCGAGCCTGGTCTCCTCAGGAAAAGCCCCGGTCCCAGTTTCTGTTTCTCCACGACTTTCTGCTTTTCTAACTTCCCAGACTTGCCGTTTCCTTAGTTATCTGCTTGAAATTAGCTCTGGCTTCTGGCCTGGGACGGTCCAGGCAGCCGCAAGTTTGGGCAGAGGCCAGTCTGCGGGACGGGGCCGCGGGTGGGCTGCTGGCAGGTGCCTGTGGCTGCCGGTGCTGGCGTCTCGGGACCTGCATCTCGCCCGCGGACCTGGGCGTCCTGGAGCTCCGCCGGCACCCCTGAGCGCCTCCCCCCAGGTAAGGACCCGGTTCTCTGCTGGGGCGGTCACAGGTGCTCCTTCCCACCCCGCCCCTGCAGGGTGCCGGCGGAAGGTGGGTGCGTTGCGCCGGGGGCAGGCTCCCTCCTGACTCCGTCTGTCTCCCTCTGGGCTCTCAGGCAGCGAGCACAGTGCTGGGTCTGTGCGTCCCCAAACCTCAGGGCAGAGGACAGTGGGGCCCTGGTCCTGCCCGCTGCTTCCTACCGGACAGCCCGCAGGGTGCGGACGGGTTTGGGGCGGCAGCTTCTAGAGCTCTTACACTGTCCCAGCCTCTTTCACCACCTGTAGGAAATCTGGAGCAAAAGCCAGAAAGTGGGGGAGAAAGAGAGAAGCACAAGGAGAGAAACCAGGCCAGTGTGGGGTGAGCGCGGAGGGAGAATAGCTCCTTCGGTCTCACAGGTGTCGTCAGGGGAGGGCCGGGGGGCCTGAGGAGCTCACTTTCCTCAGCGTCTGCTCCATGCCAGCGCCCGTCTCCAGCCCAGAGAGGTTGCTCTGGCCTTTCTGCTGCACAGCACCCCTCCAGCATCCTGCCTGGCCTGCGTGGCTGGGTTAGCTGCAGAGTTGGGGCTCCCTCCCCACTCACGCCCGGACTCGGAGGGGACAGTGGACGCTTCTGCCCTGTCCCGGAGCCGTGCGCTGCCGCCCATCCTGCCCCGATGGCCCAGACGCTCGCAGCTTCCACACAGGCCGTCCTGCCCAGCCCGCGCCTCCCGCTGATGCGCTCCTGGGAGCGCCGCCTGGCTGTGGGCCGCCTCCTGGACTGGCCACCGAGCGCTCCCCGGAGCGCTGACCCCCGGCGCTTCCAGGTGCTGGAGGCCCGCAGAGTGGGCCGTGCCTGGCTGCCAGTCGCGCCTTCTGCCCGACTCTTGCTTCCTCTGGCTGCCCGGCGCTGGGGAGAGTGGCCGCGGGCCTCCGTGCCCCACCCGCCAGGGAGGCAGGCGGCAGGCGGGCAGCAGAGAGCTGAGCCCGTTGGGAGTTTGAGGGCTCACAGCTGGCAGGGCACCAGCCCCGGGCGTCCTGTCCCTCCGCTGCCACGGCCCTCGTTGCTGGCTTTCGGGCGGGGCAGGAGGCCGGAAGAGGGGGCTCCTTGCTCAGAGGTCTTGGAGAGGCAGCGGCCTGCTCCGTTGCTTCCCGCGTTTGGGGCAGGAACGTTCAGATCTGGGCTCTCTGGGCTCCTTGAAGGTTTCGTCAGCATCTCAAAGGCTTTACCTGCGTGCTTAAGCCTCAGGCTGCTCTGCCTCAGAAGTGGGTGGTGTCCCTTTGCTTCAGCAGCTTCCTGCCCCTAGGAGGGCCCTGGTCTGGGAGGTGGGGTGCCTCAGTTGGAGGCGCTGGATAGCCAGACCTGTGCCCTCTGCTCTGCCAGGGTCCCCAGGCGCCTCGGGGCGCCTCGGAGCAGCTCTCTGGGCGGGAGATCTGGGCTCCTAGTGAAAGGGGCAGATTGTAACAGGCCGCTGAAGCCAGAGACTGCTACAGGTGGCGCCCTGGTGAGGCCGGGGAGCCCCGGAAAATGCCCATGGTGTCTGTGTGATTGTGGGGTGTCGGGGGGGCTCTGATAAGAAATATAAGGTGGCCCT